TATATACTACTATATGCCAACCCAACAGATATTTAAAAAAAAACTTTTTTTTTATTCCAAACAAACAATAGATACTAGATATAAATATATTAGATATAGATAAATAATACCTCTTTGAAATATTGGTTTTCTTCATTTTAATAATTTTGTAATGTCTTTGTTGTCTTTAAAACAAGTAAATAAATTCTTCTGCTAAAACCCTTTTTATAAAATACTGCTGTAACACTATATAGACAAATTTTACTACTAGGAATTTGTATTTATTACTTAAAAATAAGCATAAGAACATTTTTTTTAAAATAATAATACTCCCAAAATTTTGCTAACATCAGATAAAAGGCTCTAATATATAAACACAAATTTTGATAATTGTGTTTGCAAGATTCTTTATTACTTACGTTTAGGATAAAATTATATAAAAATAATCTACCCTTTAAAATAAACCATATACAGTATTTGTATTGGCAAATTTCGTGTAACTTTGAATTTTTAAATAATTCTAGTAACATCTATATAATCTAAAATTATAGCTATTATTTTTGAACGTTTCTTGTTTTGTTGTTAGCAATTTATTTCAATACGTATATGCAAAGACGTTATTTCGAGTCACGTAAACTAAAGAGAAATACTGTAAATTGCCGTATACAAGACCCCAGATATCAGGCCCCCATGTAGTAGACCCGGGACTGATATAGGTTTTATACTGGTGAAATGTAAAGACCTGGGTCTTTATACGGTAGTATGGTAATAATTAAACTGAGTGCGAACGATAATCTTGTTCTTTAGCTAAATTATATAGTTATTAGTTCGTTTTAAGTTGCCGAAATAACATCCAGCGAATTATTTCGCACAAATACGATCAGTAGCGATTTAACTTCTTTCGATAAGATTTGAGTGCAACGGTATTAGATATTAGATGTTGACAAATTTCTTTAATTCTTTGCATACCATCTCGTTAGGTTACAGATAATATCCACCTTTGTCAATGTTTTTAATCTATAAATCATAAAGTATGCGACAAAATAATATATCAAGTAATCTATTAACAGTGATTTTGGTCTTCAACAAACCTTAGAATTCGTTTAAGACTGAAATCATCGAAAATAGATCAATAGTTTTTAAAATATACATTTTAAATTTTGCAGCAACAAAAAACGATTTTTTTTCTTAAAAAAGATTACTGCCATACAGTACTTAAAACTTTGATGATGATTTTTGTCTTAAAAGAATGCTAGGGCTTGAAGCATTCATTGAAATCCAAAATCATCAATGAAAGCTTACCAACTCCTGAGATATCGATCACTTCTTTAAGTAAAGTTCGTTGCCGAAATTCACTTAATAATCGTCGAAATATAAGTAATCTTTTAATAAATGATTGTTTTTTTGAACTTTGGCAAGTAACATTGATCATACAGTAAATTCATAAATTTCTATGTACACAATCTTTTTTAGGAAATAAAAATAAATTATACATATATACGTACGTACGGATATTTCAAGTAAGTTGAATAAATAGTAAGGTGATTTTGCAAGGAAAATCACCTAAGAAAGGAATACGAAGAAAAGAATACAAAGAAAGGAGTATGAAGAAAGAACAAAGAAGGCATGGTTGAATAATATTCTGCGTATAACAATAATTTATCAACAATTAAATGAGTATAGTCTGAAAAAAAAAATTTCGGTCATGATTCTAAAAAGGATTCATTAGTTTCCCTTTACATTATGTACTGCATTATGACAGCATATACGTAAGATGAATCATGAAACACTCCTGAATAAACCATGAGACGCACTACCAACAATGGTCAGACAATGGACAACAGACAGGGGAAGGACCGGATTTTATAAGCTAAATTTGAACAGTAAATCGAGAACTGCCAAGAATAACACAAGTTAATATAGTTGAAAAAAACTTGTATAAAAACAATAGTCAAATAAAGACAATTTGTGAATCCTATTGTTGGATACTGTAGAATAGGTATAAACAGTTTTAATATTATTTATATTTTTATTAATAAATTTAGATATAAATATTTATTCAAAAGTAAGAAAATCGGAAGTTTTTTTGGCCGACCAATTTGAAATATACTCGAAAAATAAGGTTACTTAAAAAAAACTTACAAAACGTAATAAAACTTTATGAAGGACATAGTATACAAAACAAGGTAAATTTACAAAGTACTATTACCATAGAAAGATATATAAGAAATCGGATTCTACCGAAGACGATCTTTTAATTAATACAATTGTAAATTAAGACAGTTTTGTATAATTATTTGTAATACAGTATCGGTATTTGAATATGAATTTCACGGTAGTGTAATTATTATTCAATAATCGAATAATCTAGCAATACGTTACGTAACAACAAACAATAACGATAACGATAGAATAATATCAGTATTTAATATAACGATATTGGAACGTTAGTTACTGGTTATGAATAACACGGTAATAAGTGCAGGAGTGGCAAAGGTAAAAAAAGGAATTGTCTAACAAACACGTGACATGGAGATTTCTATTTAGAAATGAAAGGTTAAATTTATTTTTCACCACATGAAACATCGGATACTTCGGATACGATAGTAACTATTTATCATGGAAATTCTTTTACCCAAAATGAAAATAAAGCATTTACATACAGTAAGCGTATACGTGCATACATAGGTACAGTACGTACTGTACGTACGTTAATATCAGATATAGATACGTACGTTAATATCGGATATAGATACGTACGTTAATATCAGATATAGATACGTACGTTAATATCAGATATAGATACGTATGTAAATATGTTTACACACGTAAATACAGTACATATGCACTTTGGTATTTATTACATATTTATAAAAATCTGCAAAAGAAATAAAGAAATACAAATAAAAAGGCAGATGCAATTTTATTGAACAGCAGTAGCCTAATAAGTATAAAAAATTCTTAATTAATCACATGATCACCGAAATACAGGGAATTTTAAAAGCAAGCTAACGAAAATAAAGTAAATAGAATAAATTACAAATAAATTACATGATAAAAAGTTACCAATAAAAAAAGAGATATAAGAGACAAGGACAAGTAGTACAAATCTAAACTTTGTATAACCAATATTGTTTATCATTGACAATGAAACAAAAAAAGGCGGCAGATAGCATGAATTGCATTAGTATTAGCAGTTGTCGGAAATCAAGAAAAAGCCATGAGAAAAAGTATAAAAAAAAAGATTTGTTAAATTGCGCAGAACGACATTTTTTTATCTGCAGATGGAATTCAGATGCCAATAATAGAATGCAACATCTTTGAAACCAAAAAGGAAGTTAATTGAATAATAGCAATCAAGAAAAAAGAAAATAGCCACAAGAAAAAAAATTTGAAACAAAGGCAAAAAGAAAAACTCGAAGCAAACTAACTCAAATTGAGTGATAACGCAGAGGTAAAATGACAGCGCCTCATTTAGGAATTAGGCGTGTGAATAAAATTAGATAAGTGAATTGCATGGGATATGATCGTGGCTTTTCAGTCACAAGACCTAATCTATTGGATAATCAAAAGCAAAAGTATTGTTGATTGTTTTGAAGGAGAGGACATAGCGCCTTATAGATGTAAAAGTCACACGGCAGTACATCAAACAGGTATTACAACAAGAAGATAACCTACTAAAGTACGTACGTAGTGTAATGGTGTACGTACACTATAGTCATAGTGTACGTACATAATAGTACATACATAGTATACATGCATAGTATACTTACCTAGCAGCTAGTGTATGTAGTGTACGCAGTTTACATAACACAGAATTATCTTGCATCGTGAGCAGAGTAAAAAGCATATAGATGTAAAAAAAGCATACAGATGAAAAAGCATACAGATGCACAAGAAAATAATAATAATAATAATAATAATAATACGTAACGATAACTGATAATAAATATAACGATAATAAATTGTTTGTAAAAGGTTAGAATTTCACAATACAAATAAACAACGATAGATGCATAAACATCATCGGCCCCTTTATCTTCCCTGATTGGTTCTATCCTTAAATAAACATCTGATAAATAATTTCCTGGAATTTCAATCTTATGCATTTAAAAAGATTGGAGGAAGAAGCGTACGTACATACTCCGAAACAGGTATCATGATTTTTAAAGTATGATTGAAGTATGATTGAAGTATGATCAAATGTATGCATACGTGCGTACTTACTTGTGTACTATTACAGTATTAAAAATACATACATACATACATACACTGTATTATGTACTATTATTAAATTATACTATTATTAACTATTTATTAACTATTATTAAAAACTACTACGCATGTATCTACTAATTACTACGTATCACTATCTTATACGTATGCTTTATGTTCTATATTGTTATATATATGCTATATCCTATATCGGACATACTATACTTTATATGCTATATATATTGTTACACATACTACGGTATATCATATCGATTTATTGTACCATACCCGATAAAAAACAGGTTTTACAATAGTAAGAGAATCTTGCTTATTATTTAACGCCCCATGTTTTCCATTTTTCCATTTAGATTACCCTTCAATTCACATAAACATATTGATTGCATCGTTTCACGCGGATCAACAAATATATGCGCCGTGACTTTTGGTGAAACTACCAATCGGAGTTCGATTTATTTGTAATCATTTAAAATGTGTGTCAAAAAATCTATTATCATTTGTTTTACATTACGGGGGAAATTTGCCAATGCACAAACACGTTGCTGCAATTGAACGTTAATCATCTTGACTTTCTCGTAATCAAGTTTATTCTTTATAAAAAAAATTTTTTTTTATAAAAAGGCTTTAAACGAATTTAATGCTTCGTTAAAAAAAAAACAATTATATTTCAAAGAATATTTCAAAGAATTATCAAGAATTTAAAGAATTTAAAGAACTTAAAGAACTTAAAAAAAACTTTAAGAAATTTGTGAATTAAAGAAATTTAAAAATGGGAGAGATAAATAATCAAAATAATAAAGTGTATGTATTTATTTCTCTCCAACCAACCATCTATTATACCAATCGTTCGTTATTTTTTTTCAATGCGTACCTAAATTCATTTTTATCTTGATTCGTTTTATAATATCTAAATTCATTTTGTTTTTTTTTTTTTTCGTGTCGTGATTAGTCGTAAATCGCGAAAAACTAGTAAATCTATTAACTCAAATTCAAAAAGTAAAAAAAAATCTTCTTCATCAAAAGAGATTAATCAAACGATAACTGCTGTAACGACTCTTGTCGAATCACCAAAACCGATCTCACCAATTGAAGAAGATTCACCTATTGATTTACCAAATGATATACCAAATGATGTACCTATTAAACCAATCGAACCAGTTTCATCCCCAATTATTACTACTCCTAAGACTCCTAAGACTCCTAAAACCCCTAAGGTCGAATTATCTCCAATAATTCCTCGACAGACGATCTCAAAATCAATAAATGACGGCCTTTCTCTTATTTCTAAATCTGTCAGCATGATCGACATGCCTATGGAAATATTTAGTTATATATGTGCATATCTGCCACCTGATGATTTATTATCACTCGTATTAGTTTGTCAAACATTCAGGAGATTATTATGTGATCCTACTTCTCCCATTACTCAATCGATCTGGAGAACTTCTCGTGTAAATTTTTTACCTTATCTTCAATTACCTCCTCCTCCTGGTATGGGTGAAAAAGAATATATCGTCCTTCGTCAATTAAGAAAAGGTTGCCAATTTTGTCAAGAACGTGAAACTGGTTTCGTTAAAGTTTATTGGCAATTCAGAGTAAGATGTTGTGAAATGTGTTTGGATGAACGAACAACAAGGTAATTTTTTTTTTTCACGTGAATATTATTATTATTTTTGAATGTTGTTGTACAAAAGTTATACAGAATGTTGTTATACATATTGTTCATATTATCAGACCATCGATACATCGATATACATCGATATACCGATATAAACTTGAATGTTGTTATACATACCCATAATAATGTTGTTATACATACGGTACATGATGTTGTTATACATATACATACATACATATATACATAATGTTGTTATACGTGAATGTTTTCATAAACAATGCATTTCTATTTTTCCTTTAGACGTGACACACTTTATATTAATTGGTGTATTCCTGATGAAGTGCTTAGTACCCTGCCTTACATTTTTCGTGGTGCATCTCAGGTTTATTGGACAAAAGATGTTTTTGCTGCCATGCAAGAATATTCTTCCATCAGTGATGATGATTTACTAAATTGGATTGATCAGCGTCGAACAATAGCAAATAGCATAATGGATGTGGCTCCAGGTCATGAACGTGAAGAAAATGATGAATTACAATCAAGTATGTATGCATATCTAATGCATATCTGATGACGTTGTGTTATTATTTACCTTATTTTACGTTATACTAATTTTATTCATTTATACTTTTATCCTTATCCAATTATTATTTTCTTATTTCATATTTCACCTTACCCTTTTATTTTATTTATATGTATAGATTTTATGTTTACAAATCAGATTGCTAATCCGTTATCCGTGAATCAGATGTTTCTACCGAATTCGGTTCATCATTTGCCTCCTCAACTGAATCAGTTAAATCAATTAACTCAACTAAATCAATTAAATC